ATTCCTACAGTCAAACCTCCGTAGCAGAGTCATCTGTGTTACAGCCTCCATAGCTGCTGTGGGCTTTCAGACTCTCTCTCCTTGGCTATGTCTTCACTCTGGCAGTTCTGGGGGCTCCTCTTTCTCCTTTTTTTTGTTTGTTTCTTTGTTTGTTTGTTCCTAGAGAGAAGGATCAGGCCCCCTTCTAACACCATACAGTGTGAGAGAGATGGACATATGCACCCATAGCATGGGTTGTAATCCAGCTCCCCCCAGGGACTGTCCCACCTTTCTTGCAGTCCCCATAGGACAGCCTGCCTAGTGGGTGTGGAGGACCAAGACTGCAATTATTCCACATACAGAAGAAACAGAAGGGATTTGATGAAAACAAACAGGACTGCTCAAGAGAGGAATGCAAAGGAGAAATAAATGGAACCTGTATCAGCATCTCAATCAGGAGAGCAAGCAATACCAGATGAGTCTACTGAACATACAGAATTTCAAATAGACAATTCAAATCCAAATGAAAAAATGGACATTGACATTCCTGTTACCACCTCTAGAGGTAGAATAATAAGAAAACCTACTGATGGCCAGGAAATGGTATTTAGAGATTTGCTTTTGGGAATTGGCTTATAGGTAAAGTAACTGTGTACTTGGACAATGGTCCAGGGCAATAGCAAGGGTTAATTGATTTCTAAAAGCCTGTTTGTGACAAAAGTTTCCTTCAAGGCCCACTGTTTGTGACACAGGCAAGCAGCAAGCATACACACAAGCTGGGAAATTGAAGACATGTACCACACTGTTCCACAGCAGAGATAAGAGACTCTGCCACATTGGCTAGGTCATAGTGGCCATCTGCAGAGCCCTTGGGATTTCTAGTTTTGGTAGATGGATCAAATTAGGGGGCCCAGAAAGAACCAAATTAGGATGAGTGCATGTGATGGGTTTGTGAAAAAAAAAAAGAAATATGCTGACAGGGCAGAAAGTGGACAGTAGGACAACCACAGAGAGACCAATCAATGGTGCCCAGAGATGAAGAGTCATCATATAGGAAAAAAGAATACAAAAGGAGGGATTTCAGAGCAGCAAAGGGCCCCCGAGAGGGGAACCTGAGGCCACCATGGACAGAGGGCATACCATCAACCCATCTTACCCACCCCACTGGGGAAGAGTGGGTCTCAGCCTCTGACCTCCAGGCTGCCGACACCTGACATTCAAGAAAGAACCTCAGGATGATGCTTGCATAGTGGCCAGATGTACCTTGACTCTGATGACAGCTCTAGGACTGGTAGACATAGAATAGTTTGCATTATTCTTATCTGCTATCACGTATATGCACAAAATTTGCCTATTATCTAATGGAAAGTTCATGGTCAAACTGAGGGTTTGGGTCCACCTGGAACAAGGTGTCTGGGCCATAAATCCAGTGCCAACACCTACTACATAGAGAAACTAATTGTTTTGATTCTGAGAGATTCAAAACCTGGGGAAAAGGGAGGTATAATGATGGTAGAAACTGTGGAGTGAGAACCAAAGTTCCTGAGCACGCTGCATGCAGGGACAGAAGGCTGGAGGTAAGATGGCAAACAGGTAGAGAGCTACATGGGCTAAGCCCATTGCTTATGTATTTACAAGCTCTTATAAGTTAACTAGGAGACTAAAGCTAATAGAAGTGTCCTATGTCCTCCTTCATGTATGCTTCACAGGTACTGTAATTTCTTGCATACTGCACACATCTGAATAAGACATGGACCTTGTTTTTGAAAGGTGGAATGCAGAAAAAAGATTGTTCCTTGAGAATACCAGAACAACAGTACTTCCACAGAGAAACATAGGCAGGGGACAGGGGAAGAGGCAAAAAACTGAGGTTGATTTGCTAGTCCCCTAACTGCAAGATGCTTCAGGCTATGCTGGCTGAGCCAAACTGCCCAGCCCCTCTTCCCTACTTAAGCTGAGCTGGGCAGGAAGTCAGCATTACTTGCCAGATTAGCTAAAGAATGATTGCTGGATGGGCTCATGGCACATGGGGTACTGGGGCATGCACAGGCATCTCCCAGCCCAGATCCTTTGCCCTGAACTGTATCATTCCCTTGCAGATTCTGGAGGACTCCCTCTCCTCCTGCCTCTGGATCTCATGGAGCTGTCCCTTGTTCTGGGGAACCTGCTTATTCTGATCCTGACTGGGCTGCTAATGTACTACTACAGTGCCACATTCAGGTACTACACCAAGGTGACCGTGCTCGATGGATACCTCATCGCCATTTCCATCGTCTCCCTGCCATTCTTTGTTGCTCATGGACGCACTGTGGAAAATATGAGGTGGGTAGATTGGATGTCATCCACCTGCTTTGCAGCTGAGAAACCAAGAGTAGTCACCCTTGCCCAGGGGACATAATGCTCCAGCGAGAATGCAGTCAGACCATAGTCCTGGGGGTGTCCTATGGCAATGCTATGGGAGAGGGGATGTTGTGGTGTCATGGGGGTGCCCTATGGCAATGCTATGGGAGAGGGGATGTCGTGGTGTCATGGTCCTGGGGATTCCTGGTAGTTTTAATATAAAAGAAAGGGATGTGGTCTTGTCCCAACACTGGAGTGTCCTGGGGTCAGTATTATAGCAGAGAAGTTGGAAGCTCCCAAGGTCTGGAATATAGCAGAAGGGAGCAGTGATTTCTCTCTGGTTGGTGTTTCAAAGGGCCGTGAAGGTGTGAGGGGACTCTGCCCACTTGCAGTGAGGCAAGGCAGTAGCATTGTCAGCTTGCTTCTGAGCTCCTGTATGCCAGGAGGCAGGATAGATGTTGTCCGTGTCTCTTAGCCCTGCCCCGTCTCAGCCAGCTCTCTCTCACTTCTATCATCCACTGCAGAATTATACGTACCGTGATGTGTCCCATCAGATACTTGCTTGGCATCAAGGTCAAGGTGCAGGGGAAGGAGAACCTGGACATTGAGGGGCCCTATGTGATTGTTGCAAATCACCAGAGCAACGTGGACTTTATTGGTAGGTCAGCTGTGAGTGATGTGACATGCTCTATGGGAGCTCCTGGCTCCTGCTTTCCCTTCCCTCTTCCTGCCAGGAATACAGTAGGGCCAAGCAGGGGGAGCCCCAGACTACCAATGCTGACTCCTTCTCCACTCCAATGCCAGTGATGTTTGAGGCACTGCCAGAGCGCTGTGTGACTGTTGCCAAGAAAGAGATTCTCTACATGGGGACATTTGGCCTGTGCTGTTGGCTCTCCAAGTTCATCTTCATTGACCGCCGTAAGACGGACCATGCCATCAGTGTCATGTCAAAGGTGGCGCGGACCATGCACCAGGAGGACGTAAGTGGGGCCAGGGACTGAGCTGGGTGTGCTTGAGCGTGAGGTCATATGCCCACTCCCACCTCATCCTGTAGTGGCCCATTGGGGGATAACCACTCACTATTTCTTCCAGGTGGAGAATTTCCCTTTCCAGGCAGAGGACCAGGTGTTCAAAGCTACAGGTTCTTGTCCCAGGGTGGGCAGGTGCACAGCTGTGGTACAGGACAGGCATGCTTATTTGAGGCCCCACAAGCCCCCTCCTCCAACAAACAGACACTAGCCGTGGGCTGTCACTCTGGCCATTTGCCCATTGGTACCTTAACACCATCTTTGCCTGACTAGCTTGGGGGCAGAGAGCTAGGGTCAGGATAAGCTCTGTGACTACCAAAACAAAGGCCCTGGGTCCAGACCTTGGCTCAGGGTGTCCATGTGTTTTGATTGACTGCCATGTCAACCCCTGCTCCGTGCTGGGCCAGGATTTCACTCAAGGCTATGGCCTCTCCCATGTTGGGGTCACTGGGAAAGGCTGTTCCCATAGGGAGAAGGGATTTGTCATCAAAACCTTACTCAGCTTTAGTACAGGGTGCTAAATGTATCAGTACCACCACCTCCCACGACACCTGGCATGGCTGTCTGGGGACACCCCATTGTCCCCACTGAATCTACCTGGAGACATATGGATCATGACATAGGTGCTCCAGCCAACCTGGCCCCCTGTACCTGCCCCTTCCTAAGCCCTGGGGCTGCCTGGCTGTGGGATTGTCACAGCAGCAGGCAGGTGCTGGCCCATGGACAGAACGGTTTCATCCAGGTGCTCTCCTGTTCCAGTTGCGAGTTTGGGTGTTCCCTGAAGGCACCAGGAGCTATGGTACCACCATGCTGCCCTTCAAACATGGGGCCTTCCACCTGGCTGTGCAGGCCCAGGTAAGTGAGCCCTCTTTCACCTCCATGGGTTGCTGGTTCCCTCCCCTGCATCCTGTTTCATTGTGCCTCCCATCTTTCCCAGGTGCCTGTGGTCCCCGTGGTGTTATCATCCTACAACACCTTCTTCAACAGAGAGAAGAAGAGGTTCACAACAGGTGAGTGTGGGCACTGGGGAGTGACACTGGCATGAACTTCCCCACCCAGGGGCTTGAGAGCCCCCTTCCCTTCACTTCTCTTCCCATTGTGTCTCACTACCCCCACCCCCTGGCACAATGTCCCCACAGGTGAATGCACGATCCAGATCCTGCCACATGTGCAGACCCAGGAGCTGGGCCCAGATGATGTCCCAAGACTGACAGAGTGTGTGCGGCAGACCATGCTCACCACCTTCCAGAAGATGTTGGAGGATGCTAGGGAACATACATAAGCCAGAGAATGACATCTACACCCTGATGACATCCCAACTCCTGATAATGACAGACCCCCACACTAACCTCTGACTCCAAACAGTTACTCGCTGTCCCAGCATTATCCAGTTGGGATGCAGGAGGATTGGGTCTGCTCTCTGTATCTCTGCTTATCTGAAATGTATGGGTCTTTAGAGCACAGCAGGCCTCCTGAATTCCCCTCACTCACCCTGCTGGAAATCAGTGGAGCTGCTTTACCCTCTCTGCTCCACCTGGATTGGCCCCTGGTGTCCCTCCTATGATTTAGATCCACTGGGAGAACACAACAGCCCCAGAGCCACTTCCAGCCCTGTCCCAAGGGAGGAGAGGCAAGATGAATTTGTCTGGGAATTTCAGGACCCCTAAGGAAGCAACATAAAAATCCAGCAGAAGCATGGTTACCATGATCACAAGGGAAAATGCAGTAGGAGCTCAGTTACCATGAGCAAAAGGGGTGTTTAGTGTGAGGCCTGATCCAAAGCAGCTTCAACAAACTTTGTTCCAGTGTCCTCTAAAGCCTCTTTCACTCCCCTTCCTAATCCTCAGGAAAGGTGTTCCTGGCCACACTGGCAGGGGTGCACCATGATAACCCATTGAACAAGGATGGGACTTATTCTGAGCACCCAGGCTCAGTGCTGACCTCAATCTGGCCTCTTTGTTCTAGCTCCTTTATTCCAGCTATGGAGAAATTGTGACCTGCTCATCTAGCTGGTTTTCAGCTCAGCATCATAGCATCACAGGCTGGAAGTGTCCAGATTGTCCAACATCCTACAAAGAAGCAGTATTTCCTGTTCCCAAACCATCCCCAGAGGCATCCCCAGTCTCTTCTTGAAAATCTCCTGTGTAGAAAAGTACATAGCTGCCTTGGGCAGCTTCTTCCATTGTCCTACTGCTCTGGTAGTTAGGGGTCTGTTCCTCAGAGTCAATCTAAATCTGCTTTGCAGCAGTCTAAATTCACAGCATCATGCCCTACCCTCTGTCATGAGAGAAACAATGTTCTGCCTCTGCTTTATAGCAGTCTTACAAAGAATCAAATATCATTCTTGGTCCCTTTTTTCCCAGCTAACTATGCCTAGGTCCTTCAATCTTTCCTTGTGCAGCTTGCAGTCACCCTAACTCACTTCTAAAGCTCACTTCAGGATCCTCTTCAGTTTCACTAGGTCTTTCTCAAAATGGAATTATAGATTATATTGATGTGCTGCCTTTCATTCACAGAGAAAATAACTCATACGTAACTCTTCTGCCAGGTCCATGATGGCAATAGCAAGGGCTGAGTTCTGTTTTAGGGGTTTTACACAAAATTTTTTTTCTTGGCTTGAGCCCCCACGCAGAAACCTGGGAAAATAAAAGCTACCTGGGTGTTCCAGCATGAGCAGGCTTCAACACTCACAAGCAGTATTCAACTACAGCAGGGTTTATTGAAGGGACAAGCAAACAGGACAAACACACCATCTTGGGAAACCCTTCCTAAGCAGTGGCTCACCTCCACCAACTATTAACAGCTGATCACAGTCAAGTGACCCAGAGGTCTGTCCCATACAGAATGAACTTGGGAGCCAAAGCAGCTGCTAACCCAAGCTTTCCATCTGGGTGCTCACAGACATGCAGCTCCCTGCTGTAACTCATGGTGCTTTACAGAAAGCACCATGAATTACAGCGACCCCTCTTCCTCCCCAACCCAACAGACATTTGATGTTGGTTTGGGGGGGAGGTGGGGAATTGAGCTCCTCTTTGGAGCTGATCCAACATCTGCAGCCTCTCTCCCCTAGCCTCACCCCTGCCTCCTAACTCTGGTGCTGTCTACAAGGTGGGAGGCTCCAATCTACCCCCCTCCTTCCAGCACAGGCTGAGCAAACTCCAGACCAGAGCTCCCTTCCCTCCTTTATTTCCCTCCCATCCTTCAGACAGCACTGGCGGCAGGCCTGGATTGTATCAACCCATCCCTGATTGGCACAGGGACTGACAGAAGTTAATGAAGGTGCTCTGCTTTGGAGCACTTTCAGCTGAATCCTCATTAAATGAGGGTTATTTTGTTGTGTGACCAGGCAGTTTTAAATCACTCTGTAGCCATGCACTTCTGTCAGGGCATGGCTGTAGAGCACTTTCAAGGGGCCAATTGTGCAGCAAATATCACTTCTGTCAGCGCCCTTTGTGTCTGCACTGCTGGGTGGCACTGACCTACCACTGCCCTCATCATTTCTCACTGCCACTCGGGGCACTGCTCTGCCAGCTGTTGTTCCTCACTATTATTATCATTTGTCAAGGATGCTAGGGGGGCCGCTTTGCTACTACACTTTCTTATATCACAGTTAAGCTCAAGGATCTCATCACTTCCAGAAAAGAGACCAGCTGAGTCAGTGCCACACAGGACCAATCTAGGCATGCAGAGGGCCAGCCAAGGTAGTGCAGGACTCCTCTGACCACAGGGGCTGGCTGAGGTAGCATGAGACCTGACCAAGGCATGGGCAGGGCCCAAACCTGGCACACAGGGCTCAATCCAGACCATGGACCACACAACAGAACATCCCCATGCCAGTTATCTGGCCCACAAGACCAAATGGCTAAGCACCACTGCATCACAAGGATCACCAGTGCTCTTCTCTGTAAAGCTTGGAAATTTTATCTCAGGCCAAATCAGCCAAATCGGTTCCGGATTATATTGACTGGGCAGAGCTCAATCATTCAAGTCTGTGTGGGTGCTACCACTGGCAAGTATCCTTCAGCCTTGGGCTTCAGATACTGCCAAATCCATGGCAGGCATCCTACATGCAAACCTGAAGCCCAGAGGCCTTGGGGTTCAGATGATCCCTGGTCTTGCTTGCCTTTAGCCAAAAGGTTGAAGGAGTAAACTGGAGAGAAAACCCAAGAACAATCCCCTATTACCATAAATTGTGTAGCCACTGAGACTCTCTCAGGGGGGCCTGCCTACAGTGCAATGGATGCACCTCCACCCTCAACTACACTGAGTCATTCAAGTCCAGTAACAAGGGGATCTTTGCTGCCAGGTCAGTAAAACCAACTGGGGCAAAAAAAAACCCCACTCAGGCTTCTCCACATCCTTTTTAAACTGTGGAGCCCAGAATTGGATGCAGTACTCCAGCTGTGGCCACACCAAGGCCGAGTACAGTGGTAGGATGACATCCTAGGATTTGCTTGAGAAGCATCTATGGATGCAAGCCAAAGTTTTGCTTGCTTTACCAGCTGTGGCATCGCATTGGTGGCTCATATTCATCTTGTGGTCAATCATGACCCCCAAGCCCTTCCCAGCCGGAGTCGTAGGAGGCCTAGCGGTGCCGAGCCTATAAGCATGCTGCGGGGTTTTTTTCCCTAAGGTGGAGTACCTTGCATTTTTTGGTGTTGAACGCCATCAGGTTTTTGTCCGCCCATTTCTGAGCCTGTCTAGGTCGTCCTGGATCATCATCGTATCCTCAGGTGTGGATGCTCTACCCCAAAGTTTGGCATCATCAGTGAACTTGGCCAGCCTACTTCTGATACCAATGTCTACATCATTAATAAAGTTGTTAAAGAGTATAGGCCCAAGGCCAGAGCCTTGGGGGACCCCACTGGTGACAGTGCACCACGATGATTTACTTCCATTTATTACCACTCTCTGGGTCTGACCTCAGAGCCAAATCCCTAGCCATTGGACTGTGATGTAGCCAAGGCCGCAGTTGGCCAATTTTTCCATGAGGAGATCATGGGACACCAGAACAAAGACTTTTTTTAAATCAAGATAGATGAATCAAGATATGTTCCCCCAGCCTATCACCTTGAACTTGATGTCAAGGAGATGTCAGAGGGTTCCTTGGAATGTGAGGATCCCAAGATGCAGTGAAAGCCTCCACAAACCTACAGCAAGGGGCAGGAGATTTGTGGGAGGAAGACTGCAACCCAAAGCATCCAGTTGTTCCTCATGTTCTAGTAAACGCTTCATCTCAGCAGGGGATCCCAGGGAAGCTACAGTAAAGTCTACAAAGCAGGGTTAAGGAGGGTGACCATAATGCCTTATCAATGAGACCAGGGGCAGACAGGGATCCTGACACACACATCATGCCAGCAAGCAATTTATTTGCTCCAGTTAAAGGGAGCTCTTGGGAGCCTCTGGATGTACATGTGTAATGAGTGAGTTTGGTCTCTGGACCCCCACAGCTGTCTCAAGGGCCTAGATGTTCCCACCCCACAATACTTGTTTCCTGTTGAGGGGTGTGTGGGTGGGGAGGTCCAGGGGAGCACTGGACTCAGCTGGGCTTGAAGCGCAGCAGCAACCTGTGCTGGGCTCTGGGCTCCAAGCTGAGACAAGGGTTTGTCTGGGCTCTGACTGCGGAGCAATATAGTGAAACCAAGATGTGAGGAGAGCAGCAGGGACACGGGGCATTGGGAAAGGGGCAGTGCTGTCTCGGGAGCAGAAGTGTCACATGACATCTGAGCTCCCTTGGTGGCAGCGACCAAGGGAAGGGCAGTGGCACTGGCTGTGCTGATGGAGGGTGACCACCCATCCCTAATTGGGTGGGAAAGTACTGGAATGGGAACCTCAAGTCCCAGACCTGGACTGCACAACTCTGGGACAACATTTGTCCTGAATTCACAGTATTGCATGCGGGCAGGCAGCGTTCCAGCATCAAGGGGCTGCTAGTGGCTTCCAGGAGCAGGATGCAGGAGATGCCACATGCATGTGCATGCCCACATATATGCACGTGGCCAGGAAATACAGCCAGGCAGCATGAAGAGCTCCCTGTAGGTAAGTCGGGGGGGGGGGGG